AAAATTAAGGCACTCCTGGCTGATGGCATGGAAACGGGCATCAGCTCCATGAAAAGAAGGACGCCAGAAATGGCCCCATCATGAAAGAGAAGGAAGACCAACATTCTAACGGAGGCACTTTTCTTTCCTGTCCATTCGGGTATCAATTCTCATGAACCTATTGCCGTTATCTACTTTATCTTCACCCCTGCAAACGGATTCAAAATCAGAATTGTGCTGATTATCACTCCGGATATTCAGCCATCAGGTGTTTCAAAAACGAAGGCGAATTGGAGCCCACGTCAATATCATAGCCGTATTTCTCGCCTGTTCTAGTCTAACTAAACCAGAATACCATGCTGTTCCTGTTGTTCCCTAGTCAACGACTAACTGCCTGTTTCTTGGCTGGTTGCACCAACGTGATGTGAGGTTAATTCCGTTCTCGGTTACGACAAATTCTGTCTTTTCTCTAAACTCAAACCCGGAACCTGCGGAGTTCAATACTGATCTTTTTTTCTTTTGGACCACCGCTCCGTTGCTGGCCACAATCAACTTTTGCCTATCTTAGTTAAGCAGTAAGTTTTCAACTTTAATCTTATAGTGGTTCATTCTCGTTACCCTTTAAGATAATTTTGGCTTCTGCATTTGACTGTTCTCCCTGTGATAGGTTCTTTCGAAATGCATTTCGACTTCTCATTCAACAAAGTTATGTCTGCATTTATAAGAGGGCCGAGGTATCTAGAAACTCGGTATTCCCGGAAATGGCATAGACTCAGCAGAGCGAAAAATAGAAAGGCGGAATATGCTCGAATCGATTTTCTCATGTTAACATATACGTTTCGATATTCCTCTGCATTGACTTTCTTTCCGTCAGTCGATATACTTTTCATCATTTTTTTATTCCTTGTTTCACTGCTGTGTATTTTATTTGTTCATGTGCATTACATGTATATTTTATAACACTTGGTCCGTGGTTTCTGAAATGTTAGCAGGTGCTACTTGTACCCACCATTTCCTCTAATTTAAGCAGCAAATTCGGTTGATTGATTGACATATTTGGCTCGAAGTCCAGTCTGAATTCTCAATTTATGAGAGGCTTCTAGCTTACAAAATGTTATGTACAATAGATCTGAAGCCACTCTTGATCTTAAATGTGCCTCTGTGCCAGAGAAATGGGTTTAAAATAAAATTTGTAATTGCGAGATATGTATTAAATTTGTAGATACATTTGTCTGTGTATTTTGCCATGGTAAAGGCTATTGTTCTATGGCAATAAATTAATAAATGCATTTTAACGATAATCTGCTTTTGCGCAAACCCATGGAATCGAAACATCACCAGCACAGAAACAAACATGTGTTTGATTCATTTCGAAAAGCCATAGACAGGCCTTTAATGATAACAGATAAATAATGTGACGGTTAAAGGTTCGGAAATTTTGTTTAATCATTTGAAATATTAAGGTCAGAATGAAGGGGTAGGGAGTGGCAGAGTTGCGAAGAGGTCATCTATCAAACTCTGAAAGCGCCGTTTTCAAATCCTGAAGAATTACAAAATTTGCTGCATCCGCTAACTCCCTTGAGCAAGGAAATTACCCAACGTGGCTTCGGTGTAACCCACCTAGAAACGGGTAGCAGGTCATTGATT